ATGCTGCTATTACTACTACTACTACTACTACTACTACTACGACTACCACGACTACCACGACTACCACTACTACCACTACTACTACTACTACTACTACTACTACTACTACTACTCCTGCTGCTGCTACTACCACTACTACTACTACTACTACTACTAGTACTACTACTACTACTACTACTACTACTACCACTACTACTACTAGTGCCGCTACTGCTACTGCTACTGCTACTGCTACTGCTACTGCTACTGCTACTACTACTACTACTACTACTACCACTACTACTACTACTACTACTACTACTACTACTAATCCTCCTGCTGCTGCTACTACTACTTCTTCTTCTATTTCGACTTCGACTTCGACTTCTACTTCTACTTCCACTTCGACTTCGACTTCCACTACTACTACTACTACTACGGCTGGAGTGAAACAAGGTGCCAGGGTAGCTCGCTTCCTGTCTTGCAAGGGTTAATGGTGCATTACGCAAGCTTTACCTGTCGTTTTGGTGCCTTCTTCTTTGTGGTACTCCATTTCTGGCCGGGCTGGTCCCAAATCCAGCCCTACCCTGGCATGCAGCAATCTCATGATCTTCGAGAGATGCGGGGTAGAGACCCGAGGGTTTGGTCTGACTCCACTGTCGACCTGGGAGCTCGTTCTCGGGCAAAACATTCTGGAAAGGACACCAAAGCCGACGACAACATGCAGGCGAAATTTACGTGGATCCGCAAGCGTGCTTTTAGGCGTGCTTGCCGACGTGCAACACAGAATGGCAGGGGTGGTACCATGTATCGGGGCCATTGGATGACGACAGAGGCCTTGTTGGGTCAGCGCCTGTCGACAGTAAGTGACCCAGCCCCGCGCGCTTCGGTGACTTCAAATAGGCCTTTGAACCTGCGCCAAGTACCGCGGCTACGTGTACGCACGTACAACCTAGGTGGGGTCAACACTGCTGTCTACGACACTCTCTGTGCCTGGTTACGGACTCAACCTGAACTGGACATTCTCTTTCTACAAGAGATCCACTTTGGATTTGGTCGCGAGGAGGCGACGTGGGTCATCCCAGGGTGGCTCTTTATAGTAGCTCCCGACTCGTCTTCCAGGTACAGCGGGGTGGGAATGGTGATTTCAACTCGAATCGCATCTCCGCAGACTGTGTCGTTTTGCACGTGGGCTCCAGGGCGCATCTTACAGGCGCGCTGTCAGGGCTCGCGTGTCAATCTCGATCTCTTTTCGGTGTATCAATGGGTGCGCAAGGACTCTTCGGACGAAGTACAGTCTGGGAAACGCTCGGATCTTTGGCATCAGCTGAGCAGGGCCCTTGGCAACGTGCCGAGACGCAACTTGCTGGTTGTTGGTGGCGATCTGAATTCTTCTGTGGTTTCGAGCCCTGGCTTGATTGGCAGAGGTTTGCTTAAAGATCATGAAAAGCGTTCTGATCCGGAGCTCATCAGTATGATTGAAGAGCATCAGTTGTGTCTTCTTAATACTTGGGGATCTGCTAGGGCTTCTCGTAGTGCCACCTTTAGGAACGGTAGCGTAGCTACGCAGATTGATTTCGTTGCAGTACGTAAAGGGGCTGCGGATAGGATTGCCAAGCAAGCCTGCACAGTGACTCATGATTTGGCTCCCTGGCGTGATGGGCCTAAGCATGTCCCAGGCCTAAGCATGTCCCAGTCCAGGCCAATATCCCCTTTGTGGCCGGATGGATGCTTAAGCGCAGTCCCTCCTCTAGTCTGCCCTTGTACTCTCGGGATAAACTTGCTAGCAGTCTTCAGGCCGGTACTCCACAGGCTGTAGCGTTTCAACAACAGGTTGCACTAGTGGTGCGTGAGGCCACAGGGCATCTTGGCCTTGCTGAGCTCAACAAGAGACTGTTGCAGGAGTGTCAACGCTTCTTTCCTAAGACGCGCTCTGCAAGCCAAAGACCTGGTGATGCACCGGCGGTAGTAGCCAGCATAAGACACATGTGGGACATGCATGCTGCCATGCGTAGGCGCGCTCCGGGTGGGCGAATGCAGCAGGTCTTTGCAGGTTGGGTTAGATTCACTCGCTTTCGACAAGCCTCCAATGCCGTGCGCAACAATGGTAGAGCTGCCAGACGTCTGTGGCTTCAGGAGCGCATAGCCTGTGCAGATCGCGCGGCCTCGCGCCATGATCTTCGTGAAGTCTTCAGTATCATTCAGCAAATTGCACCGAAGAGGAAGCGAGAGGGTGTGCAAATTCGGGGCTCGGATGGGCGACTGCTAGACAAGCATCAGCAATTTCATGATCTTCTGCAGTACTTTCAAACCGCATTTGGAAGGAATGATGATTTTGTATTTCATCCGCAATTTCTTGATCCAAGTTTTAGCCACGATGAAGTGTTGACTGCCATTAGGAAACTTAGGCCTAGGAAAGCTGTCCCTTTGACCTGCCCTATGGCAGAAGTCTGGCAGTGCTGCCCCGACGACTTTGCTGCATACTTTCTGGATGTTTTTCAGGCCAGTCGACAATCACATTGTGAGCTGCCCTCTGCTATGACTGATTGTCAATTGTCACTGCTACCGAAGCCTGGCAAGCATACCAGATTGCCGCAGGATCTCAGACCACTGGGATTGCAGTGTCCCTCATCCAAGATCCTTGCTAGCCTAGTCCGTGATCGTATTTGGCAGCAGACCCAAGCCTGGCTTCAAGACAAACCCCAATACGCTTACCTCCCGCGTAGGTCTATTGATGAGGCCATCAGTAGGGTCTTTGCTAACTGTAGTGCCATCAGAACTCTACTTCAAGAGGGTGTTGACAGTGTTCATGCTCGTAGACAGGGACGTGGTCCTCAGCGCTGCATTGGAGGGGCACTTGTAAGCATAGACCTGAGTCGTGCTTTCGACTGCGTGCCGCGGTGGGCCCTCATACGCTCGCTACAGGCAGCATCTGTCACACCCGACCTTATTGATCTGGTGCTTGCTCTGCATGAGGGTTGCAACTATACCATCACACATGCACACCACACCGGTCACTTCAGACTCGAACAAGGAGTGCGTCAGGGATGCTGCCTGTCGCCCCTGCTTTTTGCCATCTTCACAGGATGGATCTATGAGTTATTAGAGGCGCGCACTGATGCACAATGGGCCAGGCAGTTCATCACTATCTTTGCAGATGACTGGCTGTTGCAATTCCTCTTTCGTAATGTCAGGGATCTTGCGAGGCTGGGGCCCAATGTGCGTGCCGCTTTTGATGTTCTCTCTGAAGTTGGCATGACTGTGAACCCAACGAAATCCAAAATCGTGCTTCGGGTCATTGGTTCGCAGGCTAAAGCTTGGATAAAGCAGCATGTCCGTCGCACTGCTAAAGGTCCTGTTGTCGCTGTTGGGCTTCCACATCTGCCGCTTTCGCTTCCCAGAGTGCCGAGCATCACCTATCTTGGCGTTGAAGCCTCACTTGCTGGCTTTGAGATGCAAACGTGCAAACTGCGTCTCAAGATGTGTATGGCCATCAAACATAGGCTGGTTCGTCTTTTGCACTCCTCGGGTCTTAGTCTTAGGCATAAGGTTACACTTTATCGTGCCAGCATACGCAGCTCTATGCTGTACGGACTTCATGCTGTTGGTTTGACGCAGTCTGTGCTTCGCAAGTTGGACTCCGCTGATGCGCGGTGTCTAAGAGCGCTGGCGCGCAGCCCGTCCCACCTAACACATGAAACCAATGCGGACTTGCGTGCAAGACTTCGTATCAGTGCACCCAGTCTAGCGCTCCAGCAGCTTCTGCAAAGCCGCGCCAAACGCAGTCAGGATGAGGCCTGTTCTGCGCGTTTTCAAGCCTTGCTGCAACGGCTTAAGCAACGAGCTCAGGATCTGGATAGTACTACCATGAGCCTTTGCCCAGTTGAGGGCCCTGCTTCATGCATTGGTGTGTACTGCTCCGAATGTGGCCAACAGTTCAGTCGCATGAAATTCTTGCATCAACATCGTGCACGGAAGCATCCTGAGCTTGTTGTTACTAAGCCTAGTTTGCCCCCTGTGTCTTATGCCTCGCATACTGTAGATGGGATGCCTACCTGTCGCCACTGTCAAAGCAGTTTTCGGAGGGTTGAGGCCCTCAAGAAACATCTCAAGCGTTCCTGTCCTGTTCTTCATGGACCTTTGTATGGTATCGTTGCTAAAGCACCAGATGGGGAGGTACCCACTGAGTGTGAGGGTCTGCGAAAGGGGCACACGTGCCGGGACCCTTCTTCGACGCCGGAACACTCGGCCTTGCTCGATGACTTGACTTTCCGAGCTGCCACGCAAAAGGGCTGGAAGAATGTGCTGAGGGACCCTCAGTGGGTGGACAGTCTGCGGAAATACTGTGTCGTCTGTGGGCAATGGATCTCCATGAAAGGACCAGGGGCCAAACAGCATGTGAGGTTGTCACATGAGCACCTACAAACAATTGCTGTTTCTGCCGCCTCACAGTGTACTGCTTTGGGGTTGATCGCCCTTTCGCCCTGTCGCTACTGTGGCCTCTCCTTTAAGGACCCGGCCAAACATGTTTCCAAGTGTGGTGCTGTCTTTCAGGCCTCCCTAGCTGCGCTGAGTGTTGCACAGGACCTTCGCCATGACCGCCATGCAAGAGGATCCGGATCTAATGCAAGCCCTGGCAGCACGGCAGCAGCTGGAGGAAGTGTGGCAGGGACAAGATGCCAAAAGGCTGCAGAAGGAGGAGGAACGGCCCGAGAACTCTCTCCCTGCCAAGTTCCACAGGGGCCAGACCAAGGGGCAGAACACCAGCGGCAAGGGCAGTTGGGATGCCTGGAACCAGGGCCACTGGGGAGACGGCGACAAGACCTCCACTCCGGACTACGGGACCCAGGCCTTGATTCGGTCAATGACCAAGCTTGTGCTGAGGCAGGAGGAGGAACTCGGTCGCCTTCGCATCGATACCTCCTGGATGTTTTTCCTCGACAATCAGCCCGACGGACTGGTTCCTGTTCTCCAACGAACGGCGGAACAGTGGCAGCAGCAGTACGAGGCGCAAAAAGTGGATACCAGTCTGAGGGTGATCTTGTTCCTTGCTATGATCAAGGAGGTGGCGAGTCGCCTTGGGGGCTTCCTCGATCAGGAGGCTCACATGACACGGGCAGTGAATGTGGGATGGGCCTCGCCGGGAGCCACGGCCTTGAGCCCCATGTGGCACTACCAGCAGTGGAACCCCGAAACGAGGCAGGTGGAGCGCCTTCAAGGGCACCCTTGAAACATCAAGATGCCCTTCAGCATCTGGAGACGCTGATGACAAGGGCGGGCTCCCCGAACACCATCACCAGATTCAAGGCCGCGCGCCGGCTCGAGGGCGATCACGCGGCGGCTGTGGTACCCTTCATGCTTTCTTTAAGCCTGCGAAGCGAGTCAGCAGCTCTGTGCCATGCGGCGCTGGTGGCTCTCGACAACAATGCCAGCATGAAGTACGCGGCTCTTCGGCTGAGACCGGAGCGAGGAGCCAGATCAGCCCTGGCCAAGGAAGTCGAGGAGAACTACCTCCAGTTGAGCTACACAGACTGGCAGCGCCGTTCGCGTCAATGGCAGAAGCGAGCCTGAGTGATTCCAGGGCTGCGCCAGATGCAACTGCAGAGGCCCCCTCCTCGCTGACACATCTCCGGTTCACTGATTCCTGTCAGCTTCCTGTTGCTAAACTGACTAATCCTCACTCCGTGTGCTACATCAATGCCACTGCACAGGCTCTTCAATGGTTGGGGCAATTGACTCCTCATCCGTTGCTCTGTTACGGCAGTGCTCTCAGGGCACTACAGCTGGTATGTGCATCTGGCCAAATCTACTTGCCGAGATGTCTAGCCTGGACTCAGCTGTTGCGTGGCTGGACACACATAGCACAACAACATGACGTAGGCGAGTTCGTACGTCATATTCTCATGTTAGCACAACCGCCTGCCTTTGCTGGTAGGTGGGAAGCTAGGCTTGATAACCCCCACGTTGTCACTGACCAAGGCCCGATGACTACACCTCTCCTACTGGAGTTAACAGGCGGGGACATACAGCATCTCATCCAGCAGTGGCACACTCAAGCTGCTGTGCATGCACTTTGCCAGCCTGTCGGAGTGGTGCTGTTGCAGCTGAAACGTTATGTGTATGCAGTTGAGGGGCCCAGCAAGCTTCACACTAAGCTTGAATGCAGGCCTGGGATGCTTCTACGCCTCCCGTGCTTCTGTGAGCCACAGGGCACCCGAAGCGTTATGCGAGAATTTTGTGTTGCATTTGTGATCTTTCACATAGGGAGTCGAACTACAGAGGGGCACTACCAAGCTGCTCTCAGCGCACCGACGACACGTTGTCCACAAATGCAAGATCCGAGCGCGGTCTCTTGGACCTTGCAAATTTGCAATGATCGTCAGCTGCCGCGAGTGGCCACAGCCCGGGACCTGGAGATAATCCATCATAATGCGTATGTGATAGGACTTCTCCCTGTCCTTAGGCCCTAATCCCTACTCCCTAGGCTCAGGCTGCTGTGCACGTATGCCGAAGCGCATCTCACTGCCTTACAGTCTGCAAACAGTACGCACGGCAGAAGCGTGTGCTGTGCCTGTACTATTTATGTCTGCATGTTCTTTTCATTTCTCATTTCTTTGCACAGGTTTGGCAACACTTTCTTGTGCTCGTTGCAAGCTTGATCGCTGCAGCTGCAGCTGCTCGTGGCCCTAGATAGTGGATGGGGCCTCACTGCTCGCTCCTCGTGTGCTCACCTCAGCCAGCAGTCTGGTAGCCCATTACTCTTTGTTACCTTGCGGCGCTTCTCATTGATGGGTGCTTGTCAAGCACTGTATCACTGACAAGAAGGCAAGTAGTCCGTCTGCAATACGACAGCTGTGCTGACTGAGCTGCTGATTTGCAGTTTTGGCTCATCGCATCTTTGCAATCTTGCCTGCCATGCACTCATAAGTTCATGTGCTTGCGCTCTGACAATACAGCACCACTTCCCGACCCCTTTTTGGTTCTTTCGGCCTCTCTGGTTGCCAAGTAGGCTGTTAACCTGCTGTGCCGGCCATGCGTGAAGTGACACTGCCAGAGTCGATTTATTATGATGCGCAGGAGGGTTGGCTTTTGTGGGATGGGCTTTGTCAAGCGCTGCAGATGCATGGCCGGACCATGCCACCGGCTCTGTCTGTGTCGGGGCGCAATGATCTTCTGGCCTTTGCGAGACAGGAGCTTCCGGAGGAAGCATATATGCAGCTGGTCACGTACGCGGACGAGCTCAGTCGCTCGTTGCCGAGTACGCGTGATATTGGCTTCCCGCCACAGATTGCGGATGTGGAGCATAGTAGGCATCCAGCTGAGGAGTTGGCGTGGGCTCTGCTTGATGAAGGCAGAGGCTCTTTGTGGCATGCCATCCGAGCCATTGCGACGCTGCTGCCTTTTGACCGTTGTGCACGGCGCTCCGCATCCTCGCCACATATGGCGTTTGCAGCTGGGGCGTACGGGCATCACGGTTACGTTGGCATGCACCATCATACGCAGTTGATGCCGCGAGTCTGCAGGTTGTTCAACCGTTTCATCCTCAGCATTTGCCCTGACCATCGCTGGACCAGCTTTCAGGTTTTGTGTGATAGTCTGCTGGATGTGCACATTGACTCCCAGAATGCCAGACTGGATAGTTTCATGATTGGTATTTCGTACTTCAGTGAGGGTGCTGTCTGGGTGCAAGACTCACAAGGCCTTGACTTTGAGGACGTACGAGGTCAGCTGGTGCCTGGACGATTGCTTGATCTTTGCTGTCGTGGTTACATGGTGCCTACATATTCGAGACCTCATGGATCCAGGTCGTGGCATCGAGGTAACAGGTTCATTTTGATTTCCTATGCTATTGGTGCACACCGGCAGCTCAAGTCTGAGCAGCGAACAGAGCTGTATAGGCTAGGGTTTATGCCTCCGCCACTGGAGGATGCCTAGTTCCCGTGTTCTGTGGAGTTCGCTTTCCGTCTGCTAGCAGTGACTGTGTGCATCTGTGGCAAAACAGAAGATGCCTGTTGATCAGCATGACACCGCCATGCGTTGCTGTCTGCGCGTACACTGCCCCATTCTGTCCACTGCTGCTGTCATAAGGTGCTGTCGTGACAACTATGGTGCGCTGGGTGGACGACCCAGCTGAGCGCTCGGGACAGGCGCGGGGCCATGATCGGCCCATGCCACCCAGGCAGTCGTGTCCAGGGGGCTGTCAACTTGAGTTTTGTGGACCTGGCCACCGACACTGCTGCTCTCTTTGTGCAGCCAGTCTAGGGCGAGCACACACTCGTCGATGCAGACAGCATCAACTTTGGCTGGCAAGAGGACAACAGGGTGCACTCAGGCCCTCGGTTTGCAGCTGCAATGGATGCTCCAGACTCGCCAGCATGTATCATGACACGTGCTGCAGCAAGTGCTTTAGCAGTGGTTCCATTCGGCACTCACGAAGGTGTGACCGGCTGTTCAGGGCATCCCAACAACAGGATGGCTCACTGCGCCAGCTGCGGTCAACATCCTTGGTGGCTTCTAGTGCAGGATCCTTGCAGTTCATGGACTCGGCCACTGGCACCACAGCAGGGCTCTCGCAATCAGTGCATGTGACCTCACCGTCTGCTTCAGCTACTTCTACTGTTCTGTCGCAGTCCGCCTCGTCGTCTACTGATGTGCCTGCTGTTGCCGCCTCGAAGGATCTGTCTGCCACGAACATAGAGTCATCTGGGGAGGATGCTTTCAAGCTTGACGAGATGGATTAGTATTGCCGTTCCTTTTATCTAGGCTTTGTTCCGACAGGAGTAGCCAATGGGCTATGCGACCTCTGAGTCGCCGGGTGCATCACCTGTCCTTCGCTTCGCATCGACCGGGTGCAGCGGGATGAATGAATGAATACTACTACTACTACTACTACTACCACCACTGCTACTTCTACTACTAGTACTACTACTACTACTACTACTACTACTACTACTGCTACTGCCACGACAACTACTACTACTACTACGACGACGACTACGACTACGACTACGAGTCCTACCTTACTGCCTACTAGCTACTACCTACTACCCAATACAGACCTACTCCACTACTACTACTACTACCACCACCACCACCGCCACGACGACTACTACTACTACTACTACTACCTCTTCTGCTTCTGCTTCTACTCCTACTCCTACTCTTACTTCTACTTCTACGTCTACTTACTTCTTCTACTGCTACTACCAGAGTCTACTACTGCTGCTGCCGCTACTACTAGTACCACTACTACTTCCACTGTTCCTGCTGCTGCTGCTGCTGCTGCTGCCACTACCATTGCCACCATCACTACCGCTACCGCTAGCGCTACCAGAACCACCGGCAGCACGACGACCACGACCACGACCACCATCACCACCACCACTACATACCACTATCACTACCACGACGACGACGACGAATAGCACTACTGCTACTAGTAACTGCCACTGCTGCTACTGCTGCTGCTGCCGCGGCTGCGACGAATGATACGACCAAGCTGTGTCGCCTTCTTTTCTCCGAGGTGGTTGATCGCATTGCTGTTTTTGTCTGCTTTCAAGCCATACCCGTTGTACAGGAACTTGGGGATGCCTTCTTGGTCCTTGTCGCCTGAGAGGACATGAGAGGACCAACCACATAGGAGAACCCTGAGTTCCATCGCTACACATCTTGGCCTTGCCTGTTCATCCATCCCCTACACGCACCAATCATCCGCTGAGTGCTTGTTCGGCATTGTCCATGGAAGCTGAGGCACACTGCATGGAGCTGGGTTGCACCACGACAACTCCGAGACCTCGTTGCTGTCTTGATTTGCTCAGGCTCAAGGGTGGCAGCAGCAATCCTGCTTGCCAAAGTTCCATACATGAGCTTCGAGGGTACGTCTTTTCTCTCACAAAGTCGAAGTTTCGAACGCTTCACATGCGTGAATGGAGGCACACCCAAGAGCCAGTCCAAAAACAGCAAACAATCAAGCACAACACTTCACGGGCCGGGCAGAAAACGCAGATTCTCATCTGCTTAGGAGACCGGATTCAAAGCACTAGTTTGAGATGATATGTTGATGGTAAGTGCTAGGAAGATGCTCCGGTAGTCAATCCGCCAAGTCCAACCATCCATCATTCAACATCATCCAACCAACCACTCGCACCCGACCGCCAGCCGTGCCGCCAAGCCAGCAAACTGAGCTCCCGAGAAGTGCCATAAGGCTTCGAACAAGTTCTCACGGCATCCGCGTGCCCCTGTGACTCCTGTCGTCCACAGATTAGAGTGGAAGAGTTTGGGTTGTCAGCAGGTCCTCTCGCCAGCTTTTCGTTACCATTCTTCTCTAGCTAGAAACCCCTTGTCTAGCGGGTGAGAGAAGGAGGCGGGCCGCAGATAAAGCCGTATGTACCTCGTTGCCAAACGCTTGAAGAAGCCGCTGTGGCTTGTATGCTAGCCTAAAGTGTTCAGTTCAAACTCAAACCCTCAGTTGCATCGCACTGCCAGGCCCATCCATAACAGGAACGATTCCGCACATCTGGATGTCAAGCAGCCGAAGATGCTCCCAAAAAGAATGCCAAGCACGCGTGCGTGCACTGCACATGCGACATTTATCTAGTCGGGAGCGGTAATTCCTGCTGACCCAGTTGGAACAAGTAAAAGCTTACTCGGCCCCACCAACGGTCGAACTCCACGCAAGCGCACAACGGTTCAGCAAGTGCAGGGCAGGGTTGCAAAGCTACGAAGACTGTAGAAAAAAATCAACGCAGGAAGAGAAAAAGCATGTCCACTGGTTTGCTTGACTGACCATGTCTCGAACTCGCCATACCATCATCATCATCATAGTGGCATGGTTTTGGTATGGCGAGGTGGATGCACATGCGTCAACAGAGTGGTGACATGCTCGTGTGAGATGTAAGCAAGCGCATCTCCCATGGATGCATAAGTTTCGATTCTACTGGCACATCCGACAGGCCCATGAAACAAGCTCTTGATCGGCCTTGATTGTAGGCATCAGAGTTCAGCTTCACGGAGAACACCACTTTGGAGAATCCTTGCAGCTCTTCGACGTTGAGACTCGGTAACCTCGGAAGCGTGGCGATCGGAAGACAACCATGTGAGTCTCATTGTGTTGCCAACACCAAAACACTGAAAATCCCAAACTTTCTGGTCTTGGCGAATTCTTCTTAGGCTGCATCTCTTGCGCTGAGCTGAGATGTGATTTTCTGTTCCCTGGTAGGCTGTGAGCGGCTTGTGCCTCCTTGCCAGCACGGCACCGGCTTTTTCGTGCGACTGCTGCGACAAGCTCTTTCTCTTTCTGACTCCTGCCACCGTGATCACGAACCCGCAAACTGCTGATTCGCCTGGCGAAGCAGTACCGTCGGCGTGAGCAGCCCCTGCAAGTGCAAGGATAGTACGCCTCGTTCCAGATCCTCACTGGAGTCTAATCTAGGCAGGTCTGGTCAGAACAACTTTGCCGCCAGAAGTGCCGCCCGCTCCCCAGCATGCTAGAAATACAGCCTGCCGCATGTCGTAGCTCAGCGTTAGAAATTGCAATGCTTTGTGGATCCTGGCTGGAGGCCTTCTTCGTTTACTTTCTGACACAGAGACGGTAATGGCATGCAAGCCGCAGCAGGTGTCCATTCTCCCCCTTGAACTCCAAACCGTTTTCGCCCTGGCGAAGATCAGCCACTTCCGGCTTCTGCCCACCCATCTCCTTGCAGATGTTTGATGGAATGAATGATTCCAAAGGCCTGCTTGCACCTCACACCAAGCCATCGCATGGCATGCACAGGCATGCGAGTCCAGGCGGCATCGAATTTAATGGGCTCAGCTAACCTGAAGTGATGGTCTCCTCCAACACATCGAGAATGGAAGGAATCTTCTTGATGACCTTGACCTTCTGTCCTGCCGAAGCGGGTCAGAAGAGCGACAAGGCCCTCTTCTGGCCCGAACAAGGCTAAGGGTCATGACCTTCGCAGGAAGCCGCTGCCGCCTGCACCAGTTCCTTGTAGCCAAGCCACGAACCTGCAACATTCGGAAAGTCAGGTCCACCGTCCTTATGCTTCGAGCCACGTTTTGAACTTGATTAACAACTCCCCCTTCGGTCAAAGCGCCTGCGGCCTCCAGAAGAACTTCTACTTTGGTCTCCCGCCCGATCACGGCGAAAACGGGCTGCGACAGGTCGAGCTCTGCCACCGTGATTCCATCGTGAAGGGCCTCTACCACTGTCGACATGTACAAACATGTTGGCAAGTTCAGGTGCCCGCCCCCCGTGCAGCCCCTCCTTAGCTGCTGTCTCGCTCTTATGCCGGATCAAACAGGAGTAGTATGTCGCCTTTGGAAATGGTTAATACCACAGGACCTAACCTTGTCAGCCTAAGTCTGCTTTCGCCGGGCTCCTCAGGCTCTGCCTATTTTCACCGAAGACACAGACCATCAACCCAGCAGGAGTGGCAATTCTCGCGGTGGGGTGCTGAGCACAAATCAACCCGATTTCCTTCGCTACGCAATGCTTCAACTGACCACCTGAGCTTTTTTTG